AAACTTGATACTAAAACAGGTATTTTAAAACAATTGTATGCAAAATCTGAATTCAGTGTTTGCAAAGAGAGATTTTTAACGAAAGAAGATGGATGTCCCTGCTGTAGAAATATCTTTACGTCAAACAGCAATAAAACAATCCCTTGGTACTGGGCAGGGTTTCAGAAAATGTGACTGCAAATCTAAATGTACCACAAATAGGCGTGCTTGTCGCAAAAACCAATTGCTACGTAATTCAAAGTGTCACCAATCTTTAGATTGCACTAATAAGTAAGTACAATTTTATCATATGTTTTGCAAATTCATTTCCCTAATTGTAGTAATATTTTAAACCGTTTGATTTTTGTATTAAAGTTTTTTTAATTGATTGATGATTGATTCAATCAACTAATTTGTTGATTGTATTAACTTGATTCTTTAGATATTGAAAATTAAATAAATAACATTATGTTAATTTAAGCGTACAGAAACGTTGCTGTTGTTCCAGCAAAAATCTTATTTTCACTTTACCGAGTGCCTAGTAGGTAATTTGCAGATTACCTAGATAATCCGAACATTACCTAGGTAATTTGAGAAATGAAATAATTTTCGCAGCATTAACGGATCACCCTAGTTAATCTGCAGATTAGCTAGGTAATGCGCACATTAACGGATTTCGAGCTTTAGCGGTAACATATAGATTAAAATGTATCGATTTTATGGACAGTTAAAATTTAATATGAATTTAAACTTTAATTTTCGCATTGCAGTACAATCTGTAACAACAAGGATAATCTGATGTTGTTTTAAATACAGATAATATATTACATTTAAGACTAATATTTTTAACTCAAATTTTGAAATTCGAAGTTAAAATCCATAAAAATATAAGCTTATGCTTCTTAACTATACTAAATGCTAATACACAGTAGGGGGCGAACATTATTTTATCAATTACACGTATAAGCGTACAAAAAAGTGATCTGCGGATATCTATGCAACACTTCAGAAACAAAAATGAATTATCCATTACTCAAGCGTTCAGACTTAGCATTACGTAATATTTTTATAAACATCCTCATCGTAGTTTCAATTTAATAGATTATTTTATATACAGAGTTTGTTACGCATCGTAGTTTCAATTTAATAGATTATTTTATATACAGAGGTTTGATCAATCAAACTTTTACAATATATTTTTGTTTAAACAATATTTAGAAAAAACATACGTGTATTTAAAAATTTTACATTCACTTAGATTCTTTATAATAGTTTTTTTTTGCTGAAAAGAAAGTACAAACACAAAAATTTATCATCAAATTTATTAAATCAAAAGAAATAAAAAAATTCTACATCATTAAACACAAGTTTCCATATAAATTCGTTTTACTTCAACGTAATGTTAAGCATGTATTAAAGGCTAAATGCAATAGTTGAAAATATATAATTCTTTTATGTTAGGAAATTACATAACAGATATGCTGACAAGTTTACTAATGCTGTTTCAATGCATAGTTCCTCTGAAAAATAAAAATAAAAATTATTATTTACTTAAAACCTATCCGAAGACTTTATTATATCAGTTTACTGCAATTATATAATATGTAAGTATGTATTTATGTATACATGTACACAGTGAATAATTGATATAAACAGTATATAAAATACAACGAAATAAATTCCCACAAATAACAAGAAAACAAATTTACCAAATTTTAAACCACGATATAATAATACGTAAACAAATAAAAACTGATAAAAACGAAAGTATTATATTATTATAAAAATGGTAAAAATCTTATAAAATATGGTAAAAGAGATATTAAGGTAATAATTTTATTCACTAAAACGTAATATACGGTGGTAACAAATATTTCAAAAGCATACTAAAAAAGTAAATAAAAAAATAAGGTAAATATAAATATAAAAGATCTTTGACTTTCACCATATAATAAAATATAAAAGATCTCTACACTATATTTAAAAAATTTTAAAAATCCAGCAACGAACTGAACAATAACTTTGCAATAATGGCACAAGGGCCTCATTGGCCATGCTGCGCCAATCTGGTAATCTTAAAATAATCCTAAAATGTAAAAGTGTTTGTAAAGAAAGTAGTAAAAACTATAAAATTTTAATATGTAATAAAATGTTTACTTTGCCAGCCAAAGATTAAAAGTTTGTGTGGCTCCATCTGTTACGATATTTTATTTAAAAACCTTTTATATTATTAATTATTATAAAATGGCAAAAAAGCTTAATTTTAAGGCTATGAACGAGTTTTATAAAAGAAAAACATTGCAAATAACGTGTAAAATCTTTATAAAATCTGACCCCTTTCCAGATATGACAAGTGACCCTTCTATGTCCCCATCTCCAAAATTCCATCTTTAATCACTAAAATTTAACAGCACCAATCCCCTAATACACAAATCCTCCTTGCAAAATTTCAGAAATTTTCGACAAAAAGCAGAGAAGTTATTAAGCTTCAAAGCGGGTGATGAAAATCCCCTCCACATACTAAATTCCATACACACAGAAAAAAATCCGATTTTTTGCATTTCTCTACGTTTTAAGTTCCCCTGAGTGCAAAAATGTAAAAAGTCTCGAGGATTATATTTTTGACCGATCGCCATACTTCCAGCCAACAGAGCCAGGGAAGTAAAAACGAAATGAAGTGCGTCGATGAGATTATCCATAGTGACAACATGATAAAAGATCTGTGTGAAATACTCAGGCAGTAATGAAAAGTGTAAATACAAGTTACGAATATTTCTAATAGAAATACAAAGATGCTCGCACAAATTCAATATAAGCATTAAAATACCTTAAAAAGAATACAGTCAAAATATTTCGCTCTTTCAGTTAAGATGAGAAATTCCAATTTTGATCTGAAAGCATTTGTGAAAGGAGTAAGTGAAAAGTTAAGTGAAAGGAGCATTTGTGAAAGATGTAAATGGTTTCATTTGGCGCAATTAAAAAGGGAAGAGTACTCGTAAAGAAAATGTCAAATAAACCAAATTGTTAAATTCCAAAAAAAATGAATAAAACAGTGATCAACATAATGAATCGAAAATTAGAAATATTATAAAAAATAATTATTTTTATTATAATTATTATAATAACAAGCCGGCAAAAGTTTCCTCAGTTTGAAGTTTCTGGCTGCATGACTGACATGTGTTTAATAGTAGATACATTTCAGATTATTTTTCAGTAATTTTATTGATAAGGAAACAGCTATCACAGGCCACATCGATAGACAATAATGAACAATTGATCGAATATTTGTAAAAAGTAAACATCTTAAAAGAAATTTAGACGATACAAAACGACACAATCATCACGTAATGGCCCAGCGAATGGCAATTGTTTAAATCATTTTTTGCTATACGATATTTAAAAGTTAATTTAACACAAAAAACGCTTCAATATCAGTAATGAAATGATATATTATATGTTATGATTTCAAGAATAAATAGTAGCAACTATCAATATATCAATATATAAAGAAATGAGCATCAAAAAAGGTTATACACTGCCAATCAGAATCAGAGTTTCATCTATGACACGTGGTCTATAGTCTGTCAACCATAAAAGCGCAACATCGCACTCCAGCAAACCGGAAGTGTCATCACTATCTCCCTCCTGCTTTCAAGATTTAAATGAAGATTTAAAGTATTTACAGCGTACTGAGTTAAAAGTTCGTCATAATCTGCACACATTTTGAGAATAATCACATATTTATTAAATTCTTTCCTAATTACTTTCATGTTTATAGTTGTTTGACGTGAGAAGAAAATGATTTTTATAGCGTGGTTCTATTTTGTCTTTTAAAAATTACTTTCTTAACTTTTTATTATTTTTTAATTATCTTTAATTAGTTTTTAAAGTTATTTTTTAATTAAAATTTTTACGTTCCATAACTTTTTAAATTCCAAGTATCCGTTTCGCAATCAGATCTGGACCCCAAGGAGTATGAAGTTACAGGCTATTAAACTATATCTTCAGACTCCTATGCATTTTCGTCGTTATCCTACTGCAGTGCCGTACTGTATTTCATTGTCACATGCATGAAAAAGAACGCAATTATTACTCCGAGAAAACACTCTTTAGTTCTGATCGTTTCCAAAATTAAAGATGGTGCAAAAAGGTCAACGCTTTTCATTGAATGCCGAAGTTCAAGTTCTATGGAATAGATAAGGAAAACCAGTTTTTCTCATGAACGGAATGCAAGAATAGATTGAACGTTTAGAAAGTTTCCTTTTTAAATTATAACTACGTTTAAAAATATGGATAAGTGTGATTAAAATAAATGATTTTTACTACTGTTTAAAACTAGTTATACGATTTTACCTTTTCCTATACTAATTTTACAGAAATAGAGACCTTATTTATCAATCAACCCTCCTATAAAATTTATGTATTAAACCAATATTTATACGCGTAAATAATCAATCTAAATGAAAAAATATTATACAAACTTTATTGAAAGCTATATAATTTATTTTATACTCTAAGATAATTTTATATCGTTAATTTTAAAAATTCAAGTTAAAGAAATATAAGAAATTTTAAATTAAGAAAAATGAAAACTACCTGTAATTTTTTCAGTATACATGAAAAATTATTTTCATTTATCCAGAGAATCCACTACCAAAAGCGGCTATAGGTTTTATTTCGGGTAATGTATGGTTTACAGATTCCGGTAAAGTATGGTTCACAGGTTCGGGTATTGTATGGATCTCTTCCTTATTCTCGTCTGATTCCACGATTACAACAGGATCTGCTTGTTCCGGTGTTAAACCTTTATCATCTGTTTCATTATGTTTAGAAGCACTTTCATCCTTATTACTATTTTTCGGTGGAGCATTTTTATTAGCATTAATGACTGAAAAAATAACTACCAATACAAAAATCAAGACCTAAAAATAAAAAATAAGTAATATACCAAAACTTTAGATTATTTCCATTTTTCCATTTTATAGCAATATGAATATTTAATTGTTTAAAATACATCTTACCAAATTTTTCATGTTGAGACCTTAGAGAAGACTGAAAATTAAATAGTTGTTGCTTCTATGCTGTGTAATATACAAACTAGTGTGTACAAACTAGTATAGCAACAACACTGCTGAACGTCCTTCACCTGACGTGAAAGTATTCATCCTCTAAGGTCTAAACGAATTAACAAATTGATTTCAATATATTATTCCAGGAGATTTCTGGCTAGTTTTATTTAGTAAATAAATATAAAATTCTTTCAA